CGGACTAGGTGCGTTCTACATAGTCTCCCTGAAAACGAGACCAAGTTGCGACAACGAGGTCAATCCACTTGGTCTATTATGTTGTAGCAGAAGTTATCATAACGAGAAAGCATAGTTTGCAAAAAGCACACTACTATTCTAAATTAAGAAAATATGAATATATTGATGTTCTCTTTTGTAAAGCATGGTATTTTGTTCTGACGATGGCTATCACGTCGTGAAAGGACGGGGAACGAAAAGTTATTAAGCATGACGTCCAGTTGTTAAGCCTTCACTCCACGGCGATCAATCCCTCTTCAGTTTCTGACGTAACCAATTCACTTTTCCTTCTGAATGAAAAGTCAAATCAAGTCCTTTAAAGCTCACTTTCCCTTCATGTCTACGAGTTGTCCTTTCAAATTTGGCCCATGCTTCACACGGATTTTGGGTCATTTGTGAGAGTCGAGAGTTGCTATGACATCGATCCCCCTTTCTCGTTGCCTAACCAACCATTACCGGCAGATATGACCAAATCGCCAAGGCAGCTGAGCGAATTTGTGTCCCAGTCAGTCGACAAGACGAGAGAGGCCGTCTCGCCCGGCAGCCCCATTGACCCCTGCAACCGGTTCGAGGGTAACTCGGTGTTCGCCTTTGACCCCAAGCCCAGCGTGGCGGGTCAAGATGGCGACGCTCGTCTGCGAGACGCCGTCCGGCCGAGGCGGATGGAGACGGAGGCCGAGCCGACGACAAGGTCTGGCGAAGCCGGCAAAGACGACGGGTCGCTGCAAGCCGTCTCCGCCGGCAAGCCGGTCATTTCCTCCTCCATCCCCTCCTCGGTCTCCTCCTGCGTCTCCTCTTCAGTCTCCTCTTCGTCGTCGCCACCCATCCCGCCCGCGGAAGTGTGGCCCAACGATCTTGTCTACCTGGTCGCCTCGGCCTGCCCGGGCTCGTTGCCGTCGGTCAGTTCGGCCGAGATGAGAAGTTCACCCGTCGTGGCGCCAGTTCTCGACTCGACCGGACAGCCTCAGAACCCCGGCTCGGACGGACTCGGCGAGGCCTGTCTCACTAGCCTTCAAGAGCTACAGGCCGCCGCGGCCCACTACGCCGCCGTGGCGGCTGCGGCCAGCGCGATCGGGGCCCGACAACTGCTGCCCCTGCCCGAGCATCTGCACCATCTGCATCAAGTGCATCAGTTGCACGGCCTCCAGACCTACACCCAACCGCAACCGCAACCGCAACAGCAATCACTACCACAACCCCAACCCCAACCCCACCACCACCACCACCACTACCATCACCACCAGCTGGAGCGAAAGGCTTTCTCCTCCTCCTCTTCCTCCTCTTCTTCCTCCTCCTCCTCCTCTTCCTCGACATGTTCGCCGGCTCCGCTGGTCGGTCTGGCGGAGGATGGACAACGTCTCATGGAGCTGGCACTTCGAGCCGCGGTACCAGCTGCCCGAGGCGATCTCGCGCCACTTCTCGCCCCGCCGCCTTCGGCCCACACACTCGGTACGGATGGTCTGTCGTCAAGCGCGACGACCAGCAGTCTGGCGGCCGAATATGCAGCCGCCTCGATGGTCTCTGCCTACTTGATGGCACAGAAGGTCCACGGAAACGGAGAGCTACCCGCCATCACGACCGCGCCGTTGCCTTCAATCCTGTCGCTGCCCAGGCCGCTGGTGGGCAACCCGAATTTGACCCTTCTTCCCGCGGCACATGCCC